ACCTTCCTCCTTCTTTATAATAATCATTGCTGGAAGTAGTCCCTCTTGGACCTACAAAAAATAAATAAATATTTAAAAAATGAAAAACATGATTTTGTTTTCCAGCTGATTGTCTTAGGCGCTCTCAGTATTATACGGCACACAGAGCCAAGCCTTTCTATCAAATAGGAACTCCTTTTCCACGACAACCAACTGGGATAGGAATTAATGATTAGAGCAATCCCAACATTCACATAGGCTACATCGAGCTATCTAAGCTAGACACTACATTAGAGGGGTGGGTCGGGACGGAGCGTAGGGTTTGGGAAGAGAAGGGGTGAGAATTCTGAAGCAGAGAGCTGCTGTGACGCTGTGGGCGAACACTTCTGGGTCTTTCACTGTGGTGTAGGAGGGATTCTGGGCAGAGAGGCTCTTGGCACACAGTAGGCCTTGATTTATGCCAGTCTTTGCTGTTATACAAAACAAATCCTAAACGCTGTAGCGACATAGGAAACCCACGGCCAGCAAACCTAATGCAACAAATGAAACAACTCTGATTGTACAGCATAGTGAAACGAAATGTTCTGCTATCATGGGCTTTCTCTTCAATCCTGCTAGGGGACATCATTCTGCATCATTTTTTTCATGATGTTTCCATGTGGTCCATCCTAAGCAGACACACAAAGCTCCCAATCGTTTAGATGAACAGTCAAATAGGCCTATAATGTCCGAGCCATTAGCAACATCAAGCAGAAAGGGAATCTGTTTGCTGAAATAATACAGGTTCAAACGATGCTGCGTATTTTGAGGCAGGACAGTTCATCCGATTCTGGGGGTTCAACACTTTGGCATGATCCATGCACAAAGCATTTGTTTGTTTAAAAGTAGCTGCACATTCTGATAAATCAAAAGTTTCGCAAACAGCATATAGCCTAAATGGCAAAATCGTCACGATATGATAGCACATGTTTTGCCAATAACCAATTTTTGGAGTTATCTTAACAATAAATAGTAATACACACAGTTCTATCCCAGTTATTTAGATTTCCTTAGTCGTTAATCTTGTTTGAAAACAATTCTGCAATTCTGTTTGGTGCCGCTAATGGACTAGAAATTAAACTGTCACCATTAGACTCAAACTTCCGCCCTCCCCATACATGCACACACCAATTTCTGTTTTCTTTGCAGATTTATTAGACTTTGCTCATTGTCAATACACACGTTCGAACCAAAATTGACATATCAGATGGATCTAGGCAGCAGTGTCACGTCAATTAAAAAAACAACCCAGTGACGTGGCCCCGCCCACGGCAGACCTGCTGCCCCGCCCACGCTCCACCCACTCAGTGTCCGACACAACAAAGTGAGCAGGACTTGTAGCCCTCCGTCCCAAAAGCCACAGATTGTACTGTTTAGCAGTATATGCCACCCAAAAAGTCGAACTAAGCGTGTCTACATTGTCCCACTATGCCTTATATTGGTTCATAGCTGTGCAGACAGCAAAAGACCTCACAAACGCCAGTGCTTATGCAAAAATCACACTACTTTCTTTCGTCTCCCCCTCCCCCCCTTCCCACTTTTTGGTTTTGGTTAGAAAATCTTTGGATGTGCAGCAATACCCATAAAACAATGATTTGAAATACAAAGGACAAAATCATTCTGGACATTTAAATAACATAAAAAATCAAATAAAAACATCATACACTGCTTTTTTCCACAGGTCTCTGTGGGTGGACCGTTCGGATCTCTGGCAGTGTATTAGGCCTAGTACATGGGCCAAAGTGCCATCTAACATACAAACACAGAGGAATGGAAATTCATCAATATATCTACACTTCAGACATAAGGCTGTAAAATAAAATGAATGTCCATTTTTTTGTTTTGTTTTTTGTTTGTTTTGTTTTTCCCAAAAAAACCTACTATGTACAAATCTATATTTTCTACAAATACATAAATTAAAACATAGGTCAAGTGATACAAAAATGCAATTAAATTAATGGAAACCACAACACAGTAGTAGAAGAAAGTGAACGAATAGACACAGAATCACAGCAGTTGGTTTTACCCTGTAAAAAAGAATAGTCAAACATCCTTAGAGTATCGGAATAACACAAGGCTTTCATAAAAAATAAGCTTTTCCTTCCTGCAAGTTTCAGTCTGCTATCACAGAAGCTCGCCTTTGGGGACCAAAACAGAGCACTTTAGCCAAAACCATCAAAATAAATACTCATAAAGCTTTTTTTTCCCCCCGAAGTCACATCAACGATTACCAAACTAGTTCAGTTCTGCCTTAATCACATAAACTCTCTATACAACAGAACTGTGAAAATTTATTACTATGAGGTATTCAGATATTGGTAAAGACGTGCACGGCCTAATCGGTGGACACACCCACGGGTGACGTGGTGAGGGAGGGGGGGCGGGGGAAGTGGCAGATTTGGCGTTTAAAAGGGAGCTGGCAGGAGCTTTGGTTTGTCAGCAAGAGTTGGAGAAAGCAAGAGAAATTCCTTTGGTATGTTTTCATTGCATGGTTGCACTGGCAAAAGCACCACGGTGAGAGAGAAGAAATATTCCATTTTTTTTCTTCATCAGTGGCCCTTCCACAGGCTGAGGTATTCCGAGAGTTAAAAGGTGGGTGTCGAGAGGTCAACGGTGGTTTAACACTTTGGTTCAAGCAAGGCACTCGTCCTGTGAGTTTAACACATGTCTGCCGAGGGCGCTGTTACATGAGCACGGATGAGTGGTAGAGAGCATTAGAGCGAAGGAGAGGAGGAAAAAGGGGGAAAGGAGTGGAAACACACTATCTATCATTCACCTTATCATTCATTTAGGCCGTGCAAAGAGAACAAATCTTTGGTATTCTTTGGTATCATTACATTGATAAAAATTACGAATGGAAACGGACTGAGGTAGCATCTTTGGTTCACACTATAAATATCAGCAGGTCTTAACATGTTTTTTTGTCCGTTTTTTCTTCTTTTCTACATGAGGAAGCAGCGCTCTTTTATATATGCTTCGATGTTGTAATAGTTGGAAATACCAAATATATTTTTAAAGCTAAAACACACCACAAGAGACAACAAGGCCAGATATCTTGTGAGTTTGAGTGAGTCTATGATATGAAGCAAACACATCACCCTGCTTCAGTCTCCATAATGCTTTCTTCCTAGTTGTGAAATGCATAGAATGCGCTCACTCTCTCATACTGGAGTATTGGGTTCGGGCCCGGATGGGGACACTGCGATGGTGTTGATGGTTGATGAAGTGAAAAGGATGCATTAGAGAATGAAATAGCCTTCTATCGTGAGCTTAATGTAAAATGAACCCAATTAATCTAATATGACGGCACATGGCTTATGGGTTTGTGAAAGCATGCTGACAGCCACCAGTCAATCAAACATTTTTTTCTGTACATTAACATTCTAAGGATGAGAAATTTGATTGTATGCAATGAAAGTTTGAAATGAAATGTAACACAAAACAACCTGGATTTCCTCCTGCTTCCTCTAATGACAATTAACATGCGTGTGCATTTGCTCCAGACGAAGCTAATTATGACAAATGATGAAAACCCTGTGTTGAGTTTTTTCACCCAGACGTCGCTTCAGCCTCAATAAATGAGAGTCTGCAAAACTTATAAAAATTATTTCTACTTAAAAGCTGTGTTTGACTGATGGATATGGGTGTGAAACGGTGACAGGTGCTGGTTAGTGTAAGTTTATCTTTGGTTTTCAGCAACTGGCATTGAAATATTTCAAATGCAGGTTAAAGCTAGCAAAAATCTCCCTGAAATAATCACAAGAAAGGACTGAGGCAGGAATGGGGTGCGGGGCACAGGTGTGTCCTCACAGAGACATGTTTGGCTACTGATTGAGTTTGTTTTAGGACAAACGGGAGAAGGAATTATATGTTAAATGGCTACGGAATCCACAGTCCATATTACATTTACTGAGTTACCTGATTAGAATGGTCACAGGGGGTTTGTTAAAAGGAATACATATAGTCTGGCCTGATTGAAAACAAAACAAAACAAAACAAAATACATGTGTTTCTTTGGTTCTACCATCTGTGTTTGATAAGTAGTGAAGATGGCAAGTTCACATGTATTTTTAGGTTCCTATGTAACTTTTCCAACAATTAGGAAGAAAGCACTATCCTGAGGGTGACATTCAGGTAACCTTTGTCAAGATTCTACACCACCTGATTAGATTTGGCATCCCTGGCTAGATCTGGGATGCCAATAGAGGTGAATGTGTGACGTCAGGCTTTACAACCTCAATGACGTCGCAAAATCTGGAATCTGACATCAGAGTGAATAACAATCACTCCACGTTTAAGATAATGACCAAACACTGAACATGAGAAAAAGTCTTTGAAAGCAACCGACCACATGAGAAAGAAAAACGCAGGTTAGGGGAGTGTGTTGAGATGAGGAACGACCAGCGATTGAAGTGCAACCTTCTTCTTTTTTTTTTTTTTTTTTTTAGAATGTTTGGC